TTCTGTAAACAAACTCACACACTCATTTTCAGTGACGCACTGGTTGTAGTAACCTATATAGTCAATGGCTCAGTTTAGGTTCCCCCCACACAGTTTGTATAGTTGGTATGTTCCACGTGTTCCATCGATATACTGTAAGCGGAATGTACAATGCATTTGCTAGTAAATAAATAACCGCAGCACGAGAGTATCTTTATGTCAACACGCAGATTAACAGAAACACAACACTGCTGTGTGAAAGGAACTGAACCAGACAACGTTCTGTAACGTCATACAGTGAGAGTTCAGTAACTTGATTGGATGTAATCTGTGTGTCATCTGTGTTCCATAAATAGTGCTGCTTCAAAGTCTCAATTTTAAATCTGGGGATGGAAAAATAGAAATTGTCCTATTGATTAAATGTGATCATTAAACTTTATATGGCTGTGATTTAACTAATTAAACACGAGCACGTCACGTTTCAAAATAAAAACGCAGTTAGCAATCACCAAATAACCCACATTTATGCCAACATGCCATGTTGTTTTGATCTACTGATGATGAATAATTAATATTTTGTGTGATTTATGCGTTTAAATCATACCTGTAAACTCACATTTCAGCCAGGAAAGTTGTGATGGCATTTTCCTTTCATATTACCTCCGTATAATGCCCGTAATAACGTAGTGTTTACTTTATGTAACAGCTATATAATTCTGCTGTTCCACAAGCGCCACCTTGTGGCAAAGAGTGAATTTGCAGATTCACTTATATTCACATTTTACGCAGAACAGTGTTGTGAATGTTAACTGGCATATAAACAAGACAAAAAACGAAATTTGACAAATAAGTGTTAGGAAGCTTAAAAAAAAGAAAAAGAGGTTTTCTGGGGTCAGGGGGCCTACTGTAATGCTGTAGCCCAGGGGCCTTTGGTTATCTTAAGGCGCCCCTGCTGAATGAATCTGTTTTGTTTTTTTAATGAATCGGGTGAGTCAGTGATTAAATGACCCATTCATAAAGACTGAATGAATGAGTGAATGAATCAGCCATTTGAACGGATTGGTTAAATAAATGACTCAATGTATTTAATCTCTAATATTCCTTGTGAATCTATGTATTTATGAAAGCCGGACAACACAAAACAAAACAGCAAATATGCACTAAAAGCAGAAGTCGAGCTCACTTGAGCGAGCCGGGATAAATCTTCATCACTTCCACTTCTCTGGGTTTTGATCTGAGCAGCCAGGAGTCAGACGCGGTATCCTTAAAAATGGGCTTGTTGTCTGGTGTGCCGTTACGGTTGATGATGTCATCTGTAAACAGTCCCTGTTGGCTGTAACTCTGTAGCTCGTAATCCTGCGGTTCATCTGGGATGTAGAACACTCTGAGCGATGCTTCCTGTCAGTACAGGAAGTAAGACATCAGCATAACACTGACAAAAAAGTTTTATTCAGGCATGGTCTTTACAATAACAATTTTGAGTTGTACAATGTAAAAGTTTAATTCTGGTGAAACCTGATTAGGTAAAAAAAAACATCTCACCACTACTTCCTCATTCTTGATTATTCGAGGGATTGAAACCAAACGAAACTGATTCCGCTTAGCTGCATCGTCACCATCAAAAACTTTCAGCGTCTGTTTACCTGTAGGCCAGGAGAAAGGAGATTAATATGGGCGCAAAGGTGATTACTATTATCCATATGATTTTTGCCCAGGTTTGTACCTGTGTCAGGTGATCCCGTAGACTGAGTTTCCTTTGAAGTTACTGGACTCTGAGTATCGACATCATCCAGGTTATCTGGAGAAAACACTTCTCTATTATATTAGCATTCGCAGACATGTGAGCTTGTAACTTGATATTCAGAGGTGAACATGACACTCTTAACAATGAATTAAGGGACATTAAATGTGCAATTTCCCAACCATCTTATTTTCCAGGCTTACACATTTATTGGCAGAAAGCAGTAATTAAAGCAGAATATAATTATTGTGCTCACTGAGACTGAAGAAATGTTCCGAGTTCAATACAAGTTCAATACATCTGTGACAAGCTGTCAAGTACCACAGAAAACAATTGTGATACGTCTCCCAGTTCGTAAGAACAAGTAAAAATCAAGTGTTCAGTAATACTCTTACAATGGAAATCTATTGTGCACGGCTATGGGATATAAAACACAACTCACACCACAGACTTCCCAATTATGGCTGTATCATAAGACTAGATTGATAAACTATGCAAAGTTATTGCCAAAATAATCACTGTAACTTTCATGTATTATCTGTGCAAGAATACCATTTCATCTGTCTCAAAATCCATCTGTCTACAACATCAGTTCCGTCACTAAAGGAATGTTTTAGCCAGCTTTTTTATATATATATACTACATACACTACTATTCAAACCTTTAGAGTCAATAGGATTTTTTTTGAAAGATTGCTTTTGAAAGAAGTCTCTTAGGCTCACCAAGGCTGCATTTAATTGATCAAAAATACAGTAAAAAACATTAATATTGTGAAATACTATTTCAATTTAAAATAACACTTTTTAAATAATACTTTTTTGTTTTAATAAATTTTAAAATATAATTTATTCCTGTGATGAAAATGTTGTAATTTCAGATTCATTACTCCAGTCTTCAGTGCCACATGATCCTTCAGAAATCATTCCAATATGCTGAATTGCTGCTTAAGTTATATTTCTTATTATTATCAATGATGAACAGTTATGCTGCTTAATATTTTTGCTTTAGGAGCAGCATTTATTTGAAACAGAAATCTTTAACATTAACATTACAAATTATAAATATCTTTACTGTCACTTTTGATGAATGTAATGCATCATTGCTGAATAAATGTATTATGTTCTTTTTTATTCTCACAGACTCCAAATCTGTAATTATTTTTAAGTGCATTACTATAAACACAATTTTACTTTACAAAGGTGATGGATAAGTAAAAATGATTGTCTGTGCTAATGAACAGCATGCCACACATGCTGTCCACAGAACTTGTAAACCGGAACATTTTTCAGTTTAAGGTGTCCACTCAGATTTCGAGATGGTCCTCACTGCAGAACACAAGATCCAGGGGGTGTGGTTTGATCCAGATCCAACGCCTCCCATCTTACATATACCTAAACCTACCCGTCTCCACCCCCTGATCCCTAAACCCACCCATCGCCACCCCTAAACCTACCCATCTCCCAGAGCTCCACCCCTAAACCTACCAATCTCCACCCCCTAGATGTGGATCCAACCACGCCCCCTGGATCTTGTGTTCTGCAGTGAGGGGCTACTGCAGATTTCAGTGAGAATGTGAACCTGTCCAGGCATTACCCATCTCGCTGTGGTGGGAATTTTCCGAGATTCTGTAACAGTGCATTTTGCTGAAGTTCCGCGAGCAGATCCGCACGCAGCTGGGGTGAAGAATCATGTTCCGCAACCGTCCCATGCCGCACTCTGGGGGGATGATTATGTAACATGACGCATGTGCCTGCAAACATATAAACATAGATAAGTGGGAGATTACAAGCTACAGTACAGCTTTATGACAACTGCAGTTTAACGCCAACAGATGCTACATTTATATATCCAAAGCAATATATAGGAGGATTATCCCTGTAGTAAGTGTGCTACATTAACCAGAGGCTAGGTGATTTGCTAAAGAGCACGGACTGACCTTTGCAGGGTTTCAACCAACAATATTTCAGTTACCAAAATAGAGCTTTGGCCACTAGACCACACCAACTCGACTAAAATAAAAGTACAGCTACAGTGTGTCTGTGTAAGTCCTTGTGCCTTTGTTCTCAAATCCCTCTAAATCCTTGAGGTTTATGCTTTCAAAGTATTTGGGCTGCAAACGGCCATTTCAAATATGTACCCTGCAGTCTCTGTCCTCAAAAAACCTGCTCAGGCACTGGTGCTTACATCATCTACTAACCTACATGATGAAAAACCTGCTGGGGAGGGGATAAAATGCATGCTAGTGTTCAGACGGACATGGTCTGATAGCTGAAGTGCAGTAGAGTAGAGCTTTTTATCACCAGGAGCTAAATAAAACATAAAGCGGGAAAAGGTGGAGAGTGAGTCATTGGAACGCCCTGCTGCGATACTATTTACACAATGGCACTCTACCAAAACCTGCCTCACTGCCTACCTACATAGGCAGGTGACTTCTAATTAAGCATTCTTGGTGAAATGGAAACTCATACATGAGTGATTTGGAGCACAGTCATACATTTAATGACAAAAATGCAGAATGTAAAATGAACGTATTGACAATTGATTTGGAAAAAGGCATCACGAGGACAAACACAACACTACCATTGAAATTTTGGGGTCTGTAAGATTGACTGATTATTTATTTATTTTTGAAAGAAATTAAAACTTTATTCAGCAAGGACGCAATAAATTGATCTAAAGTGACAGTAAAGGCATTTATAATGTTACAAAAGATTCCCATTTTAAATAAATGCTGTTATTTTGAACTTTCTATTTACAAAAGAATCTTGAAATTAATGAAAATTGTACAACAGTTTCCACAAAAACAACTTTTCAACACTGATAATAATAAGAAATATTTCTTGACCAACAAATCAGCATATTAAAATTATTTCTGAAGGATCACGTGACACTGAAGACTGGCTGCTGAAAATTCAGCTTTCCATCACAGGATTAGATTACATTTTTAAATATATTAAAATAAAATAAAAAACAGTTAATGTAAATTGTAATAATATTTCCACAATATTACTCTATTTTTGCTATAAAAAAAATTATAATTAAAAAAAACTGCAGCCTTGGTGAGCATAAGAGACTTCTTTAAAAAAAAAAAAAAAAAAAACCTTACCAACCCCAAACTTTTGAATGGTAGCCTATAAGTACATACATGTTCAACAATTTTGGAATTTTCCCATTTCAGGCCATAGTAATGGTTTTGGAAGTTGATAAAGTTAATGTGGCACCTAACCATGTTAAAACCAAGAAACCAGGCCAGACAATAGAAAAAATATCCACTGCCAAAATGGCAAAAGAATAAAAACACAGCAAGGTACCCCCCCCCCATTT